AAAAATATTTAGATCTGTTTTGTTGTTAAATGTGTACAAATTAAACTAACATTAATTACTTACTTTTAAGGGCATCACTGAGGTCATGGTACAAACTGTTGAAGCTGGAGCAGGAAGAACCCAGCCCGTTACAGAAGGGGTTCAGGCAGCATCATTAGTAACCATGTATGTTATTCTTTATACCTCAGTTAAGTCTTATAGCAAAAGATAAAGGAATTGTAAGCTTAGATGAATCAAGACTCATTTGAAAATTTTAAGAATTAATAAATGATACGTGGTACTAATCATGAATGTGAAAGATCATATATAAGTTTATCTTCTGATACTCATTACTATGAAGTGACAGAGATGATGTTATTTCAGGAGCAGTAGTGATGGAGATCCAATGCTAGGAGAGGTGGCATGTGGAAAAGTGCTAGGTGGCCTACGTGAGATACTTTGTCAAGCATGCGATTATGCTCATGATCGATGTGCAAAACTACTACATGCAAGGTAGAAATATATGATAGTTTACAATGAATTATTACATTTAAGGGAGCTGTCAAGATATGTTCCCTAAATGGGATTTTTAAAGAATTTTACTTCACTCTGAATCTTCCTAATTAATTTTTTTCCAATATTTTAGGTCTAGGGATCATGGCTTAGATAAGATGACTGCAAGTGAATTCCTAGCATTGTCACGCATAATTGAAGACTTTGGGAGAGAATCTGTTTGTGGCAGAAAAAGTACATCATTCCGAATGGGTCTACAAGGACAGGTTGGATATTTTGTATTTTATTAATATCTTGTGGCTCTCCACTACCCTGCAGTTGTGTTAGTGATGCTTTGCTTTTCAGTACTTCATTTGTGGAAATTTATAATGGAAGAAAATGGAAGCCTTGATAATACTTTTTTTTTCCTTTTTCTGATAACATCTCATGGTAAAGGTTATGTTACTTGTAAGAGAAACTTTTTTATCATTGTCAAGACGATCAGCAAAGAATCTACTAATTTTCAGTAATCTTCTCAAATTTTATTTCTCAGAGAGAAATATTTTTTCAAGAAAGTATCTATATAGTTAATATATTATATATTGAATACACAAGTGACTATATAAACATTGTATGTAAAACTATTTTCAGGCAACTAGATTTGTATCAAGATTTCATGAAGAACGGGAAGCAAGGCTGAAGCTGAATCTAAGTAGTGAGCGATGGAGGGCAGTTCCAGCACCACCAGATCTTCAGCACCTTTTGGACCATATATCAGCTACAGGTAGGGTAGAAAGGTGTTACGAGCTGCATTAATGACATGAGATTTAGGTGGAGAATACCATTATTATGTGGGAGGTAGAGACATGGGAATAGCTATAGAGATTTCTTTATGTAGCTAATATGTCTGTAAAGAGAAAATAAAAATATAAATGAGACAATATTGACGGAAAACAGCAGTTGGATCCATATTAAATGCATTTCTTTACACAGCATTAACTTCAGTCATAATCTAAAAAGCAGAGGTAGATCAGTTAAAATTTTCAGTATTAATCTGATGTCAGGGTAAAGAGGGAAGCTGTTTTAAAGGTAATTAGGTGTGCAAAAGTATTAAATACAGTTTTTAGAATGCTCACTATTACAATATTCAGGTGTATTTTTCATTATTCCCATCAGACACTCTAGTATCACCCCCTGCTAGTCAGCAAGAGAAGGAAACTATAGAAGCTTCTTCGACAACACCATCCTCCACCACCTTAGCCACTACCACAGCCAGCACAACCACAGCCACTCTCAGTAATGGTGTGGTTGAACAGAACCACAGTGCAAGTGGTAGCACTGGTAGTGGCACTGGTAGTGTTATCAATGGCAGTAGTAGTAGCTCGGGTGGTGGTGTGGTTGTCAATGGAGAAGAGTACATTGTGGTTGGTGTGTGTGTAGTTGTAGTAAGGCTAATTGTGGAGTACTCTGAGTGTGCATCCACATTGAGGCTGGCAGCGCATCAACTTCTGACACGTCTGACTGATTTGTTAAGAAGATTCAACTCTGACACTTGTAGGTGAGTTATGAATAAGTTAGACTTTCTTTGAAATAATGATATAAATAAAAGGACTGCTTTTAAGCAAGACATTTATTTTTTTCTAATGATAATGAGAATGATAATTCTCAGAATGTTAACTTATGGTTGATATTTTATACTGACCATTCTTTTCTAGACTCTTGGTTGAAGCTGGTGCAGTTGCTCTTGGTCAAAACTATTCGCAACCTGGCCTTGGCATGGCGATCTTTGCAACTGTTGCTGACTTTGCTTCCTCGTCTTAACACACACTTCTCTGCCTTGTTGAGACCAGCTGTTGTTACAAAGAATATAGAGCAAGTAAGTGAATCAGTTATTACATGATAAATTGAATTTGTCAGAGTTAACCCGAATGATCCGGATAATGTGATCTTCATGCCATGAAAAGATTTGGCTCGAGGGGTTTGGGTGAAGTGAACATGATGTCATGGGAAAATCTGGCTTTGAGCTGGGGTGACTCGATCTTGCCATTGTGAGTGATTTGGCTGATGGCTGGGATGATGAGAAGGACTTTCCATGTTTTCACAGACATCTAAAAAGCCAATTAGACTCATTTGGTGTTTAGAAAGGGACTTTTGCATTATTTCCATAGATAAATGATTGTGGAATGTAGTGCCTGCGACCCATGACAGTAAGAGTAGCAGCACCAGGGAAGACACCATTTCTGTGCTTAGTATTCTATTCCTGGCTGCTGTGACTAGTGGTGAAAGTTGTATTACAGAAAAATGAATATTATTAAAAAAAAATTACACAAGTAACAAAATGTTACTTATGGACAACTTAGAGAGATGATATAGAGTCTGTGCAAGAAAAACAGTCTATTACTATTTGTTAAAGCAAATGAAATGACAAATATGAACTTTGGAAAATGGCTAAAATGCTAAAAATGCTTGTGCATAAAAAAGAAGATAACATTGCAAAGGGGAGGCATAGGGTCTTGTCACTGCACGATTGTTTGTGTGCGCCTGGCTTACAAGCTTCACACCTGTCAGAGTGGCCGCTCACGTAAACCTAATGCCCATATTTTGGGCTTTATAATTGCCATGAAGCAGATGGGTGCTATGGGTTAAATTATTGGTAAGTTTTATCTTCCTCCTTTAACTCCACTATTCTTGACATCTGAACATCAAGACTGAAAATCAGGGCATTATATTGAGTAAGCCTTTCTAATATAAAAATTTTGTCAGTTCTACTTCCAAAATATTGAATAAGAAATGTATGATAATGATATAATGAAGGCTCTCAGAGTCAAAATCCCTACAAATGCTTTTTGTAATAATGCCAAGGTGCCCTCATCACCTGTCCCTTCGCATTAATTTCTTATGATGAGGTATTTCCATCTCCTGTCCCTTGGCCAAACTTTTCCATGATATATTCCTGGTACCTGCCCCATGGCAGGTACCAGTCATGGGGCAGTTTTTTTTTTCCCAATTAAATATCCCTGTCACTCAATTCCCATGGGCTAAATCTGGCTATATTAACCACTTGCCGATGGGGATGGCATGTGTGTACATGCCATGGCCACTGTGTGTTTAATTTAGTAATTGTTTTTACATATAGATGGCTCCACAAGGACTAAGTCACCAATGAGCCAATTTCGAGAACTACTTGTCTCACTTGTTAAACCTTTTCCTTGATTTTTGATAATATTTTCTAGTATTTAATACTGTTGTTAGTAATGTCAATAACAATATAGTAATTATGATGTTTGTAACAAAAATAACACTGTTATTGATAGCATTGGTAAAAAAAAAAAGTGTTTTCCTGCTACTTCATGGAAAGGTGAGGTCACAAGATCTACTAATTGACTCCTTTGAGGCTAAGCACTAGCATAGCCATCCATGTACAGAAACATTTAACAAAACAATACTAAAGTGAACACAACATTTTCCCATCAATAATGGGTTAAGCTTTATTTTTAACTGTTATCCAGTTATGGAAACAAGGAGTAGGCAGGGATTATTGTCCTTGTTGCCAGACCTGGTTAAGTAACTGTTTGGATAGCTAGGAGAGTTTCAGTTGATTTCTTTTACTCAGAGCTAGCAATGGTGCTTTATGAAAATCAGTTTTCTGTTATGTGTTACAGTTGATAAAGCTGAAATAATTAACAAACATATAAAAACACCAAAGGTGTCAGTGAAGTTTGAAACATAGCTAAGAAATAAAGGGAAGGTAGAAAATTATCAGATCTTTTCATAGTAAAAATGGATAAGCTGAACTCTAAAACTTATCAAAAGTAAGAGAAGTTAGTCTGTGAAGGTAATCTATTCCAAAGCCTACAAATAGTATTTAAAAAGCAACTAGAAATCTGAGATGTTGATGATCAAATTGCATCATATATTATAGCATTGAGAGGTATAGTAACTTTTTGTTGATAAATATCATGTAAAAACATGAAAGGGATGTGAATTATAGGTTATAATCTTGTATAAGACTGAAAGTGCCAATTCTAAGTGAGACAGAAGTTTAATGGAATGCAGCAGGTAACCATAGATTAGTCAAAAATAAATTTCAAGCAAGCCTAATTTATTGTAAACACAAGTTCCTTTCTATTTCTTTTCTTTTCTTTTTTCCTCAATATTGTTTGGGATTTAGATTTTCTCTTCTAGTTGTACTGGATTTTGTTTGGAGTGTAAACATTATAGGAAGCTAGGCATTGGAGAAAGGTTGACCTGCACTAAATATCAGTCATAAGACTATAGTCTTCTGCATAAAGGTTGCCTTAAGAGTAAGATTGTCTTTTCAAACCTGCTTACCTCTGATAACATGTCTCATATAATATCTTGGTAAAGTTCACGTATTGGAATGTCTTGAAAAAATGACATTAGGAAAACAAGAAGAAAGATTTTATCTCTTGGTAATTGTGCTGTAAAAGAGAATTTTATTGTATTTTGTTGAGCCATCATTAACACACGATTAGCTAATTATTGTAGCCAAAAACTTTTTAATGCAGAGTTTCTCTTTCAGATTCTGTTTGCTTAATTAGTTTTGAATGTCATTGCTTTTGTTATTCTAATTCTGATTAGATATTTTACCTGCACTTGGATGAGACTATTTTTGTTGAGAAGTCCTTTTTGAAATAATGATAGGTTGAACTGTTGTTTAGAAGTCTTGCTAATTTTCCTATTTAAACTAAAATTGTTAGTGAGTATTCACATTTTTTTAATGTTGATCTTTTATTTTCATGATGGCAGGTTACTCGTGAATACCGAGAACATTGTGAAGCGATAGAATTGTAGGTGTGATGAGTGACACTCTCGAGCGCCAATTTGCATCGTGGGAGGCACGGTCTCCTGTGCCTTCCCCAGCTTTCAATGGTATTCTGAAAGCAGTTTCAAAGTTGCATGAAGCTGTTTCAGGTGTTTTGCCTCCGCAGCAGGTTGGTCTTTCGCAATTTTAGTATTGAATCCAATATTTCTTTCTTCTGAACTATTATAAGATAAATCAAATATAATAGCATATCTCAGGCTAAATGACAATGAAATGCTCAAACTTGATTATGAAGTAACTATTATTTACTCATAATTCTAGGTATAACCATAATCTAGTATGTTAAGGATTGGGAAGACTTTTCATTCTGACGGTAGACAGATGTTTATATATATACATGACTCCTCTTGTTCTTCCTCCTCCTCCTCTCCTCCTCCTCCTCCTCCTCCTCCTCCTCCTCCTCCTCCTCCTCCTCCTCCTCCCCCCCTCCTCCTTCCCTTCCTTCCTCCTCCTCCTCTCCCTCTCCCTCTCCTCTCCTCTCCCTCTCCTCTCCCTCCTCCTCCTCCTCCTCCTCCTCCTCCTCCTCCTCATCCTCATCCTCATCCTCCTTGTCTCCCCTCCTCCTCCTCCTTGTCTCCCTCCTCCTCTCCTCCTCCTCCTCCTCCTCTTCCTCCTCCTCCTCCTCCTCCTCCTCCTCCTCTCCTCTCCCCTCCTCTTCCTCCTCTCCTCCTCCTCTCTTCTCCTCCTCTCGTCCTCCTCCTCCTCCTCCTCCTCCTCCTCCTCCTCCTCCTCCTCCTCCTCCTCCTCTCCTCCTCCTCTCCTCCTCCTCCTCCTCCTCTTCTTCCTCCTCTTCCTCCCCCTCTATTTGAATGACATTTGAGATCATGTGTCAGAATTAGAAGGCCTGACACGTTTATTTGAGTAACCTTGCCTTTTGCTTTTGTTTTTATTAGGGTTTTGAATGTTAGAGCATTTTTACTGTACTCTTACAATGGCTAAATGAACCACTTTTGATACCTTGTTCTCTTTGTACTACCATCTCTTCCATTAGATGTACAAGTTATTTGAGAAGATCACATCTGTCCTGAAGGAAAAATTAAAAGTTCACCTTGTGAGGCTCAATGTGTCCTCTGTAGGACCCAAGAGCTGGTAAGTACCAAATCAGGGGCCAATGGTTTTCTTTTCTGTTATTTAATGTTTGTTAAATATGGATATATATATATTGATAGCAATTCATGCAGACAGAACAGGTAAAAAAAGATGTGTTGGTAAGAACTATGAATTAAGTAGAAGTCATATGAAATAGTATGTATTGCCAGTTTGTTAGATTTTGATCTCTTGTGCATAACTTATTGCCAGACTACAGTAATTTTTGATTTGCTAAGTGAATGTGGAATGTTAAATAAGATTGTTTTCTAGTGGAGTACTATCCATGCTTTTGTAATGTGATTAAATAGTGAAGTATCCTCTCCTTTGGAAGATGTTAGCTGTGATAATAATAAATAAAGGGATTTGGAAATGTTCTCTGCATTAAATAGTCTCTGTCTTTCAGGGTGGTTACAAGCGAGCTGACCTTTTACTTCAACCACCTTGAGAGTCTAGGATTGGGTGGCCTTGTGTCCCAAGAAGAATTCACCAGTGGGTTGTGGCCAGCACGCTAGTGATGTTTTACACAATTGCAGCTCAAACTTACACATAAAAGTGATACATTTAGCCTGAAATCCAAATTTTCAATGATTTCTCAAGTTATTATTACTCCTTTTTTTAAAATTCTGTATATTTAGGATGTAAGCATCATGTATGTTCTGTGAAAATACAGTGAAAAGTGAAGAAAAGATTTTACAAACCTTTGTCATGACCAGACATTTCAGGTCATGTAAAAGAAAAAGAAAAAAAGAGGATATACCTAAATGTGAGGAATACTTTTAATGAACAAAAAGTGCAGTAGGTTTCAACTTTTTTTCTCTGAAATGATAATATAAGAGAGTTATTTCAGGTCTTCTTATATTATGGGTTTCTCAATGTGATAACTGTGATATATACAGTGTAACCTCAGCATTTTCCAGCAGTTTAAGAAGGATTCTTCCAATCATTCCACGATTTTAAAGAGCCTTGCTAATTCTTATTCATTTATGGGGAAGGTTTTGCATGATTTATGGTGTATGTAGTGATGATGATAATTTTGATTATGATAATGTAAATGTAAATTCTTGGTATTGTGGATATTAATGATGCAATTATCATAACTTTTGTTTTTATTATTATTATTATTATTATTATTATTATTATTATTATTATTATTATTATTGTTATTATTATTATTTTCATTATTGTTGTTATTACTATTATTATTATTATTTATTATTATTATTATTATTATTATTATTATTATCATTATTATTGTTATATTATTATTATATTATTATTATTATTATTATTATTATTATTGTTTTTGTTATTGTTATTATTCTTATTTTTATTTTTATTGTTGTTATTTTTGTTATTATGATAATCAGTATTATCATTATTGCCATACTGTTATTATTATTATTATTATCATTATTATAATTTATTTTTATCATCATGATCATCATCATTATCATTGTTATTATTATTATGTTATCTATCTTTAAAAATATATATATTATTATTATTATTATTATTATTATTTTATTATTATTATTATTATTATTATTATTATATATTATTATTATTATTATATTATAATTATTGTTATTATAATAATAATAATAATAATAATAATATTATTATTATTATTATTATAATCAATATTATTATAATTGTCATTGTCATCATCACCATCCTCCTCCTCCTCCTCATCATCATCATCATTTATATTATGAATATGATGATGATACTGATAATGATGATAGTGATGATGATGATGATGATGATGATGATGATGATGATGATGATGATGATGATTTTTGGCATTATTACTGATATTTACATTAGTATTGTGATCATTGTGCTATGATTGTAGCACTGCCTACTGAAGTGAGGTAAGCAACATTCACAACAAATCAAGAAAATGTGATTGAACTTGGGTGATTGTTGCTGATATTTACTTGTCTGGCATGGAAACCCCAGTTGAGTCGGACAAGATTATACGCACAAGCAAACGAGAAGACTGTTATTGGGTTTGGGTGAGTATTGTTATTTCACAGATGTCTTTCTTTAGTATGGGGATTGTAGTCAGAGATAGGCATGCAAATAAAAGGAGATTACAAAAATAAGGACATAAAAGAGGAGAAAAGCAGGTGCAAACTTACAAGATTGTTAAGAGAGGGAGATGTGGGGAGTGCAGTGTGAGGCCTATTCTACTGACTGATTAGCTAGGAGCATGGTACTTAAACGCAGGTAGTCCCACTCTGTATTCACCTTTATATATTGCAAATATTAAATGTTGATAAAACACTTACCATAACACCCTATTGTACAGATTGTCGGGGTCTAAAAGGGGTGAAGCTGATGACGTCATCATATCCAATAAGTGGAAGCCACGAGTAATTAGATATAGACATAATTGTTTGTATAATTTACTCAATATATCCATACTTACCACAAATAAAACCCATATTCCTCTCTTCTGTTTACGATAACGGAGAATTCCTTTCCACTAAGAGCTGTCAATTTCTTTTTTGGTTTTAACAGGCTAAATGAAAGTGGAACTACCTGGTTATATGTACCTTGGCTAGGAGGTTCACATAACGCAGAACTAATCCACCTGTCATTCCTCTCGGTGCCTTGCCTCACTACTACCTGGAGTCTGTTGGTGCTGCTGTTTGTACCCCTTTTTCTAGACATTTTCATGGTACGATGTGTAGGATGACGCCTATATGATTGGGTAGTTTCTTACTTTAGTTGGAGTCCTGTCTTCAAGGGGTTCTTGGCCCAGGGAGACTTCTATTTGTCTTTCTGAACTTCTCCCATACGAGTATTGGGCCTCTAAAGTAATTGTGAAGTCTGATGGCCTCTCCCCCTTTTTTTTTTTTTTTCTTCTTGTAGTTAAGAAGTTAATGCTGCAGAAATTCCTGTGAAAAATTGCTTCAGGTTAAGTGAATAGTGATGCAAGACATTGTGATATCTCTCGGTCTTATTGCTTCCCTCACTTCAGCTGGTAGTGGTACATATAGGTATTTTGACTTTTATTGTAACTTTCATTACCTTGTATACTCTTTAGTTTGATATTAATGGTATCCTCTTCTTCTTCTTCTTTTTCTTCTTCTTCTTTTTCTTCTTCATCATCATCATCATCGTCATGATCATCATCATCATTATTATCATTATCATCATCATCACTGTCTCTGACTCCATCTCCGACACTGTCACTGTCACTATCACTATCATTGTCACATCCACGCGTCAGTGTCATTGTGATTAGGATTATTATAGTTGATATTGCTATCATTGTTATTATTATTATTATTATTATTATTATTATTATTATTATTATTATTATTATTATTATTATTATTATATTATTATTATTATTATTATTATTATTATTATTATTATTATTATTATTATTATTATTATTATTATTATTATTATTATTATTATTATTATTATTATTATTATTATTATTATTATTATTATTATTATTATTATTTATTATTATTATTATATTATACTGTTCATTATGATTATTACTATTATCATAATTATTATTATTGTTATTATTTTTATTTTTATTTTATCATTATCATGATCATTATAATTTCCCATTATCATTGTTATTATAATTTATAAATATTATCATAATCATTATGATGATGATGATGATGATTGTTATGATGATGATGATGTGATGAAGATGATGATCATGATAATGATAATGATGATGATTAGTTTTGCTATTGTTGATTTTATTATTATACTGATAATGATAAAAATAACTATAATAATTGTTATTCTTGTATTCCAGTTCTTTGAGGCAAATATATTTTTTCTTATTGTAGAGGATAATGATTTTAACCTTTTCATATATTCTTAGGTAATACATATTTCCATTGTCCTATGATCTATTTTCCTCTCCCTCTCCCTCTCTTACTCTCTTCCTCTCTTCCTCTCCTGTTACCTTTATCCTTTGCTTTTCTCATCTTGCTTACTCTCTCTTCCTATCTCTCCTGTTCCTGCTTCTCTTTTATTTCGGTTTAGTATCTGAATTAAGCACAAGCATCGAAGATGGGAACGATGCATCAGTTATTTGAAATTGTTTTCATATGGGCTTAAAGTTGATCTTAGAACTAGCCTTATATGGGGAGTTCAGCATATTTTATCTTGTTTTATTTTCTTGTAAATATCAGTAACAGTTGTTAGAGATACATAGTTTCATATAGGAGTTTGTGAGCATTTCTTTGGATATGTAATTGGTGGCATTACATAGTGGCTGAATGAAGGTTTGCTGAATAAAAATGATCTTGAGTATTATATGGAGTGTCAAGATCAGCAGCAAATACATAGCTTGAAATTGCTGATGTAACTGAACAAGAGGAAGAGAAAACCTGGAATTGGCTTGACCAGTATATGCGTGAAGAGAGCATGTGATTCTTGGGTGACTTATTAGCTTATGGTCTACCAAAGAAAAATGTGTATGAAATTGTGATTTATGGTATCTGTCCATTAAAATACTGTACTTATTTCTTTTTAAAGTGTATTGCTAGGAGAGCTGTAAGAAATGAACAGCTTAAAGTGCTTAATGCCAAACAGAGGAGAAATACAGTTTTCATGCTGATAGTATAATTAATTATGGAACTTTAATTTAATCACTTATACTCTTGACATAGAGGTGATTTAAAGTATTTTAAAGATAATTTTTGCGTTTTTTAATATATTTTAGATTAATGAAAATATCTGAAATAAGTGTGACTGCAAATGTTGTTTTAGAGTCTCTGAAAAATGTTCATAAGAATTAGGCAATCTGTCTTTGCATAACATCGATGGAAACGTTCAAGGATATCACTGATATTTGTTGTAGTGGTACCATTTATTTGAAGTACTGTCAGGTGGTACTTTTGCTGAAATAAACTGAAAATTTTAATATTTCTGTAAAGTATTAAATTTGACACTTTTTGTACTATTTCAAGTATGGTCCACTAAGAAAGTATTCTGGGCAAAAGTTTGTCGTTGCTCCAAGTTAAAAAAGGGGCAAAATGAAAAAAATAGCAATATTTTACATTAATAAATGGATATATTATCATAATAAAAAGTATAGGATTGAGTGATTATTACAATTTACAGATGCATTACCCTAAACAAAATAAGAACTAGGTACAAGCCCCATGAACTCAAGGAAAAAAAGGTCTGAGGCATCCTAACAACACTAGCAATCTCAAATACTGGAGGCCAGGCCATAAGATCCCAGTATCACTGCTTAATTATTAGATTGGTGCGGATAGTTTCTAAATGACCTTTGCGCCCTTTTGATTCTTATACCAAACTGCAGGGCATACCAGTATGGCTAGGAAAACCTTAAAAATAGGGTTAGTGGACCAGTTAACATTACCATCACTCTTGCCAAACTCTGCTTTTGATATTTGGGTAACTATTTAGGAACTAAATAAAGAGACATAATTAATTCTAAATGCATTTCCTGTCAAAAGATGAAGCAGTTTGCATCGTATATAATTCATAAATTGATATTGTCAGTGTTATTAGTATCTTTGTAATTGTTATATTTATGATTATTATGATTAAAATTGTTATTGTATTATCT